AAACAACAGCATGCTGTTAATTAGAAATAATGAACAATTTTGAAAAAAAGCAAAAACAAGCAAAATTTAATGAGAGTCTTTAACATCAGATTATCTACAGTTTGTGATATTAAATGTCAAAAAGAAAAATTAATGAAATTTGCATCCTGTGCAAAGACAAGGAAAGCTTCTGATAAAAGAAAAACTTTGCAGTAGCCTTATAATGGAAATTTAAATATTATTGTTATATGAGTGGTTTGTATTGAAACGAGAGAAAGGAGTTCTTGTTTTGGGGCTGATGATTATTCAAAACAGGAAATGATTTTTTCTGGAAAGCTAAATGATGGGAAAGATTGCAAATTTTCAAATGGATGGGTTGCTTGTTTCAAAAAACATCATATAATTTGCAAGCTTGATATATTTAGTGAAACACTATCTTCCAATGAAGAAGGTGCTGTTAAATATCCTGCTTTTTTCAAAGACTTTGTGAAAAGAAACAGTATAGCACTAAATAATATTTATAATATAGACGAAACAGTCTGTTATTTTGATGTCTTTAACTTTAGCAGATGCTAATGAAACATCTGTTTGCAGTTAAAAAAAAAAAAAAAAAAAAAAGTAAGCATAGATTCATAATTTTGACTTGTGTGAATGCAACTGGTTGATTGCACAGACTAAAATTACTGGTGATTGGGAAGTCCAAATAGTTCCGAGCACTAGCAGGTATCAAGCATTGAAAACCTGAAGATACCCAAGCTGTTTTACTAATTAATAACTGCTGATTGCATCCTCACAAAGAGGAACTACATTAGAGTAAGAACTATGTATCTGCCTGATAATGTAACTGCTTTGATCCAGCCAATGGATTAAGGAAGCACCCAAAACTTCAAAATGATTTATCGGAAACATTTTATGAAAACATTTGTGAATACTGAACATTCCATAAATAGAATTTCAGTAGGCATTATAAGTAAAATATGCCATTTACGACCTTGCGAATGCTTTGAAATCTGTTACAAATGAGACTGCTAGGAAAGAATGGCAGAGTATTTTATTTGCAATTAACTTTTGTTCAGATTCATCTGATGATGAATTTGATGGTCTTAAAACAGAAGAACAAGGTCTAGCAAAAGTATTAAAAGCCTTAACAAGCAAAAACAAAGCTAAAGAATGTGTTTCTAGGCCTTGAAATAGCTGAACTAGAGACATGGTTTGATTGTGACAAGAATTTGCCTGTGACAGAAATGTTAACAGAAGAGAATTTAATTCAAAATGCATTGTTACAGGAAGAAACAAAGTCTAATTCACCAGAATCTGAAGATGAAATAGAAACAAAAATATTTCTTGGGGTGATACAGAGAAAAGTCTTTTGATTTTTTTGCAATTTTGTGTGAAAAACTTTCAATCCACCAAAGAAGAACTTTCGGAACTGCATCTTAGTAGAGTCTTATTTATGAAGAAAAGAAACTTTTGTTGTAACAGAGACATATTCATGATTTATTCAATCGAATGTCAAATGAATCAGAACAATGCTAATGTATTAAAGATCTAAGAAGGATATTTATTTTGGAAAAATATGAAACGAAAATACTTTCCAGTTCTGTTAAATTCATTTCAGCCAAAAGTCTTACTATTATTTAAAAAATCGTCTATTTAATATGCTTCACAATCAATCATTTTTGACAAGTAAAATGCAGCCAAATAGTGTGATTTAGCACCAATAATGTATAAGCGCAATGTCAAGACACAATCGTACAATCTTCGGCTTAGTTTAATGTAAACCAGTTTAGTTCTTGACAAGCTGGTTTAATTTTTGTAAAGGAGATATAATTTAAATGCTATTATTTTTCTCTTTGCAGTCTGGAAAAAAGTTAAAATTTGGGGGTCTCTGTTTTATCGAACAACACAGAGCATTTTTAAAATTAGGCGTGATAATGAAAATATGTTTTAATGGCCATGGCATGCAACTTTATTTGAAAATGAATAAACAATAGCAAGTGCAGAGTGCATAATTATGATACTTATTTAAGTTGTTTATATGCTTATATTTGTATCTTGGTTCTAATTAAATAAAGAAGGATCTATTTTCTTTAACCTTCTACCACAGTGATTGGTACAAGTTTAATGGCATCGCCATTAATTTTTCATGATCAGTGACATTTTATAATCAGATAAAATGTTTTATCATATGCTGATGGCCTACAAAATACTCAGGATTTTATATACAAAATGTCCCTCCGAAATCTTACATAATATTCATTGTAGGCTTTTGATATTCAAGCAGACAACAAATAACATAACAGTTTTTATAATTTTAAACCTTGAATTTCTTTCTCCATTTACATGGCATTTTATATGTGTTCATCTATCCGGAAATTGCGTGTATCCGGAATTAGGCATTTCCCGAGCATTTCAGATAGTTGAGCTTTTACTGTATATAGTTTATATGGATATAATCTTTCATTTTGTGGTAATATGATAGATTTTTCTTTGATTGAAGTTAACACTTTTGCCAACTCTAATTACTCTTGAAACAAAGACTAATTAAAATGTATTGTACAGTCAAAAGTCTTTAATCCGGAATGATCCATAATCTGGACCTCAAAGCTACAAACTTTCTGCCCATGCGTAAATGCATAATGCGTTTACGCATGCGCATAATACCTTTACGCATGCACGTTTAATGTATAATGGACGGTATAAGCTAGGCTAAAATTATCTAATTATCTATCTAATAATTTTGTGCATCTCCAAATCAGATGATGGTGGTTCAGTGAGTTCACTAAATTTTAACACTTTTACATTTTTAACAGTATTTTAATTACTATATACAGAGCGTATTCTTAGGCCGCCGCCTTCAACATGAACAAACTTTATTCTCTTACAACTAAGCGAGCAACAGCGCCCTCTAGCCTTTTTCTTCAAATTACACAACAATCTATTTCAGTTAGTGTTGCAGATTGCATTGTTTCTTAATCTTCTAATTGGATCCAGCTAATTATTTTTTGCAGACTGTTATAGCAATTTTATAAAAAGTAAGCTTGAACTTTCGATTGTGTTATACGCATGTGCATAATACCTTTACGCATGCACGTTTAATGTATAATGGATGGTATAAGCTAGGCTAAAATTATCTAATTATCTATTTCAGTTAGTGTTGCAGATTGCGTTGTTCCTTAATCTTCTAATTGGATCCAGCTTATTATTTTTTGCAGACTGTTATAACAATTTTATAAAAAGTAAGCTTGAACTTTCGATTGTGTCAAAAAGAGTTTCCGATTCTGGAGCTGACAAAGGATCTACAAAGCGAAAGCATGTTTAAATGTCCATCAAACAAAAAGTGGGATTGCTGCAAAAAAATGGATAAAGGCATGAAGAAAGTGACAGAGAGGTTATTGAGAACGAAAAAATTTTGATTGACAAGTTAGTCGGTATTCTCGGCACAGCAGTTACAAGACTTCAAAAGCGGAACTTTGTAGCTGTGAACTTTGTAATTAGCATATAAAAAAAGCAACTTAAACAACTTACATTGAAAGAAATGTTTAATAAAGTAAACAAATAAATATTAAGCTCTTTTTTTTTTTTTTTTTTTTTTGTGTGTGTGTGTGTGTGTAAATTTGATACCCTTTAGATCATAATTGCTCTTTATTTCATAAATTTTGGTTTCATATTTTTAATTTTATAATTTCTGCATGCCATCTTACCAGATTTAAATTGATGATCGATAATCTGGAATCGCCGAAGTCCCAATGAGTCTGGATTAAAGACTTGTTAGAACACTTTGCATTTCACTATCTTGTCAGTAGATGGCTGCACTAGTCCAATACATTGGATTTGAACTTAGCATTTCAGTGGCCTGGTGATAGCTCAGAAATTGATAAAAAAATCAATTTAAATTATGAAAGAAAAGTGTAATAATTATTTGTCATTGCTAATAACTGTAATGTGTATTCAATTTTTTTAAATTAAGTGTGTGAATTTTCAGAACATTTTTTTGTTTTGTTGTGTTATTGTTTTTAAATTTTCATATTTAACTGTAACATTGACTAAAGAGTTTTGTTGACCATGTGGTTGTTCGTTCACCATGTGTTGGGTGTGCTGAAAGTGGAAGTCTGTAGTTTTTTTCTGTATAAGTTTTTAGTGCTGTTCATGATTATGAATAAAAATTTCCAATCAGTTTAATTTGCAATGAGTTGAACTAATATCTGGTGACCCGTGTTTTATTAGGAATGCTAATGTTTTAGTTTGACTTAAAATTGCAAACATGCCATTGGACAGTGAATCTGCATCTACTTCAAAACTTGAAGCTAGTAAAGTGAGTGTTAAGATACTGCCATTTTGGGTAGAGAAACCTGAAATGTGGTTTTTCACCGTAGAGGCACAGTTTAAAATCAGTGGAATTACTTCCGAAGACACAAGATTTAATTACCTGGTTGCACAACTTGAACCCAAATTTATAGAAAACATTTGGGACATCATTCGAGACGACACGCCAAACAAATATTCAGCCGCTAAAGAAAGACTTTTGAGCAATTTTAAAGAAAGTGAAAAAAAAAAAAAAAGCATTAAGCGATTGCTAACTGGACTAGAATTGGGAGACCTAAAGCCCAGCCAACTACTTCGAAAAATGCGTGCCCTTGGAGATGCTGATGATGTGTCTGATAAAGTTCTGAGAACTTTATGGATGGAGAAACTGCCAGACCAAGTAAAAAACATTTTAATTGTTAGTGATGAAGGTACTGATAAGTTGGCCACAATGGCCGATAAAATTCTTGAGATGAATCCCCGGATAGAGCTTGCGAGTGTGGTCCAAGAAGCTGGCCCATATGATATGTTGCTAAAAAAATTTCTTCACTTGAGCAACAAATTGCGACTCTGAGTGTTCAACACACGAGAGACAGACGACGAAGTCGAAGCCATCAAAGAAATAGGAGTCGCAGCAGATCCCGCAAGCGTTTTGACCCAGATGGAAAATACTGTTTTTTCCATTTCAAATTTGGAAAAAAATGCTACCCTGATAAATGCAAACCTCCCTGCAGTTGGAAGCAGCCGGAAAACTGCAACTAGCAGTAGAATCAGCGGCAAGCCCTGCTGCTACTGGAAACATTAATTGCCGCAAATTTCGCCTTTTTATCAAAGACAGAAAAACAGGAATCAAATTTCTTATTGACAGTGGAGCAGATATCAGCTTGATTCCAGCTGATACGAAATCTAAAAGTACCTGCACTTCATACAAGCTATACGCAGCTAACGGAACTGAAATCCCAACGTTTGGAAGTAAGGTGTTGACCGTGGACCTCGGACTACGTCGCCCATTCCAATGGCCATTTGTTGTAGCAAAAGTAAACAGAGGCATTTTAGGTGCCGATTTTCTGAATCAGTTTCACTTACTGCTTGACATTCGCCAGAGAAAATTAATTGATGGTGTGACAAATATGTTTGTACATAGTGATGTAATGTCAGTAACTGAAAATACTGCGATTAGCACAGTGAGCAATTCTGTAAAATTCTCTGAGCTGTTGCGAAAGTACCCTGGTATTACGAAGCCCAATTTATTGAACACCAAAGTGAAACATAAGGTCCAGCACTATATTGCTACAAAAGGACAGCCAGTTTACTCTCGTGCTCGGCAGCTTGATGCTAAGAAACTGAATTTGGCAAAGCAGGAGTTTCAATTCATGTTAGACAATGGTATAATCAGGCCATCTAAATCACAGTAGGCTAGTCCTCTGCATCTGGTTACAAAGAAAGATGGAACTTTAAGACCTTGTGGTGATTATAGACGTCTGAATGAGCAGACTATTCCGGACAGATACCCGATTCCTAGGATTGAGGATTTTCATTTAATCTTGAGTGGGAAAACAATTTTCTCAAAATTAGACCTATTCAAAGCATACTATCAAATACCCATAGCTGAGGAGGATAAACCAAAAACAGCCATTATTACACCATTTGGACTGTACGAGTTTAACGTTATGAGTTTTGGTCTCCGAAATGCTCCCTCAACCTTTCAAAGATTTGTACACGAGGTGTTTCGAGGGCTTGATTTCTGTTTTCCTTATCTTGATGATGTTTTAATCGCCTCGTCATCTGAGGATGAGCATAAAACACATCTGAGCTTAATTTTCGAAAGGCTTGATAAATATGGCCTATGCTTAAATGTGTCAAAGTCCGTATTTGGAGTTAAAGAAATTGAATTTTTGGGGTATCTCATTACGCCTTCTGGTTCGCAACCTCTGCCAAACAAAGTTAAAGCTATTCTTGATTATGAACTGCCATCCACTCTTCATGGCTTAAGAACGTTTTTAGGCATGGTAAATTTTTATAGGAGGTACTTGAAAGATGCAGCGCAGACCCAGGCCATGCTACATGAAATGCTTAAGGGAGCAAAGAAAAAAGATAAAAGTAAAGTACCTTGGACTGAAGAAAGCATAAAGCAATTTGAGAAGTGCAAAACTGACTTGGCTAATACTGCCCTCTTAAGTTATCCAAAGTCTGAATGTCCATTATCTCTGTGCACTGATGATGCCTCAGATTGGGCAATTGGTTCAGTTTTGCAACAGTATGAAGATGGTAACTGGAAACCAGTTGCATTTTATTCAAAGAAGCTAAATGGGGCTCAAAGAAAATACAGTACATATGATCGTGAATTGCTTGGAATATATCTCTCTCTGTGAAGCAATTTAAATACATGCTGGAAGGACGAGATTTTCAAATTTTCACTGATCATAAACCACTGATTTTTGCATTCAAGCAAAAGAATGATAAAGCTTCACCTAGGCAGCTGCGTCAGTTACAGTACATCTCCCAGTTTACTACAAATATACAGCACATTAGTGGAAAGGAACAATATTGTAGCAGATACTCTCTCCAGAATTGAAGAGATATCTGTAATTGATTATGAAGAAATTGCAAAGGCACAACAGAATGACCCTGAGTTGAAAGAATTAATTGCAAGTAACACCTCATTAATTTTCAAGGAATATGTACTACAATCTAAAAATGTCCTATGGTGTGATACTTCAGCTAGCAATATTCGCCCATATGTACCTCAAAGTTTTCGCAAGAAAATTTTTGATCATATCCATAGTTTTGCACATCCTGGTGTCAGATCCACTGTAAAACAGATAACTGCCAGATTTGTATGGCCCAGGATGAAGAAACAAGCAAGTGATTGGGCTAGAGCTTGTCTGCAGTGCCAGAAAGTTAAAGTAACAAGACACACACCAAATCGACCTTTGGTACATATCAAGAACCTGATGCCAGATTTAGCATCATCCATATTGATTTGATTGGGCCTTTGCCACCATCTAATGGTAAAATTTACTGTCTAACATGCATTGATAGATTTTCCTGTTGGATGGAGGTAGTTCCATTAGAAGAGATCACTGCAGAACTGGTGAGTAAAGCTTTTTATGACCATTGGGTGAGCAGATTTGGAGTGCCACAGTGTATTGTAACTGACCAAGGTCGCCAGTTTACCTCCCAAATGTTTAAAAATCTTGCTGCTATTTGTGGTGCTAAACTTCTGCATACAACGCCCTATCATCCCCAATGTAATGGGAAAATAGAGCGCTTTCACAGGACACTAAAGGCTGCAATAAAAGCTCACAATAATGTAAAATGGAGTGATATGCTACCCACTATTTTGTTGGGTTTAAGAGCTGCTATCAGAGATGGTACAAACTATTCTGTTGCTCAAATGGTATATGGTACCAATATCAGGCTTCCTGGTGAATTTTTTGAAAAACCCAGTGTCCACGTTGAACCTGACACATTTGTGTACAATCTTCAGCAGCAGATGGCCCTAGTAAAGCCAATGAAGTCTGCAGATACATGTCAATCTTATCAAAAAGTTTTTGTACATAGAGATTTAAGGACCTGTACTCATGTGTTCATAAGAGTTGATCGGGTGAAAAAAACCACTAGAGCCTGCATATGATGGCCCATTTCCTGTAGCAGAAAGACATGATAAGTATTATTCTGTGCATATTAAAGGAAAAGATGTTAACATCTCTATTGATAGGCTGAAACCTGCTTACCTTATGAATGCAGATAGCATGCCAGAGCTACCGAATCAGCTTCTTGACGACGATGTCAATGGTGGATCCTCAAAGGAAATGCATCATAGTAATCTCCCAACAAACACTCGTTGTGGTAGAGAAATAAAACTTCCTGTTAGGTTTCGAACTTAAAACTAAATCACAACTCTTATTTCTTGTTACTGCAAATATTATTATTCATGATCTACTTCCCCAATAGTGCTAATGTCATCGTATTTATCTCCTTCACAATAATGTATACTGATTTTATAATTTCTAATTTATGTATCTTCTGTAATATACCAGAGTCATAGTGGTGTAGATATTGAGCTATATATTACTGTTCATGAATATATTCAGATATACTTTCCATATTGTTTTTACTGTTCTAGAAATTTTTGCTTCAAATTTTATATGCATGTAATAGCTGTAAGGGTTGGTATTATTGTGTTTTGGAATACAGTGTGTTTTTTGCTTAGGCATAACATCTGCATTACCTCCTTAGAAGCTATCTTATAAAATACAATTATTGTTTCAGTTAGAATATTTCAGTGCTATATAGTGTAGTGCACATATATCTATGTATTATGAGATATGTCTTTTTCACTAATTTGTTAATGTTAGATTGCAGTATATTGAAAATTAAGAATTTGAGCTGTATGTAAATAAGTAGTATTCTAATCATGTTGGTATTAGGCATATATGAGCTTTAGAGCAAATATAATTTCTATCCAGCTGCAGTTTAATGCAGTACTAATACCTGTTTTTTCAGAAAACTAATAATTTTCAAAGAATATTAGTTGCTAAGGTGTATATTCAGGACAGTGTTGCATTGAGTCAGTCAGGAGTGAGTAAAATAAGAAAAGTGCATTTGGTGTTTTAAATACCTGCTATGAAATGTGAAAATTTTAGTAATACTGATCAGATTTTCACTTGTTGTTAACTATTTTCATGTCACTGAAAGCATAACACATTGAATTGTTCAGTTAAGCCCAGATATGGAGTATGTATGTATATATTAACTTCGAGATATAATAATGAATGTGTAGAATATTGAATGTGGTATCTACAATTATGTGGATTTCCAGCATGGAACAAAAAGATTAGTGATGTATCTTGAAGTTCCGGCTACCTTAATTATTACCGTATATACCCGCGTATAAGTCGAGATATTTTGGACAAAAAAAAAGACTTCAAAGTGGGGGGTCGACTTACACGCGGGGCCATAAAAAATTAAAAGAATCGGAAGTTCAAAAATTTCTTTATATAATGCAGTTGTTTTCTTCCCGCACTCAAATTGTACGACTTATCAAATAAGTCACTTACTTGAAGTAATTTCATGACTTAAATTATGTGACGAACTAATCACAGAGTTTCATACTTTAACTAGAGTAAGTTTCGATTAAACCAAAGAATTTTCAGCCCCCAAACAATGAAAAGCCTGATATTGCATTAATTGCTCAGTGGTTAAAGATGCTTGGAGCGAAATACCCCCTGAAATGATTATAAAATCATTTAAAAAATGTTGTATTAGCAACGAACTAGACGGCACGGAAGATGATGCTGTTTTTGAAAGTGAAAATGACGACGAAGGCTCTGGTAGTGATTGTAACAATACAGAGTTCGAGACTGAAAATATGTATGATGATGAGCCAATGACGACAGAAGAGTTCTATGAAATGTTTGGCGAATCTGACCATGAATCGGACGTTGAAGGGTTTTGATTTTGTTTATTTACCAAGGTATTTTTTATCGTATATTTACTTTTTTTTTCCTCAGATGAATTTGAATAAATGTAGTACTTAAAATTTTTTTTTTCTAAGTTTCTCGATCGATTTCAGAAGCGGGGGGGTCGACTTATACATGGGTATATACAGTATTTGTATTTTAATTTGCTATAACCTTACAATTCAGAACCAGATGCAAGCTTAGAAATTGATTCTTTTATACGTCAAGTGCATTTTGATCATGAGATGTAGTGATCATGTTATTTGATTATTGACCTTACCAATGCAATTTAAGTATCGTAACTTAGTTACTGGTGAGGGAGTAATGTTAGAACACTTTGCATTTCACTATCTTGTCAGTAGATGGCTGCACCAGTTCAATACATTGGATTTGAACTTAGCATTTCAGTGGCCTGGTGATAGCTCAGAAATTGGTAAAAAACCAATTTAAATTATGAAAGAAAAGTGTAATAATTATTTGTCATTGCTAATAACTGTAATAATGTGTATTCAATTTTTTTACATTAAGTGTGTGAATTTTCAGAACTTTTTTTTTTTGCTGTGTTATTGTTTTTAAATTTTCATATGTAACTGTAACATTGACTAAAGAGTTTTGTTGACTTGTTGACCATGTGGTTGTTGGTTCACCATGTGTTGGTATTGGGTTTGCTGAAGGTGGAAGTCTGTAGTTTTTTTTTTCTGTATAAGTTTTTAGTGCTGTTTATGATTATGAATAAAAGTTTCCAATCAGTTTAATTTGCAATGATTTGAACTAATAGACTTTAGACTGTATCTTCATACTGATGCCTAAGGTGGTATGTTGGTTGGTGTAGACTGATTGGTACTTTGGCTTGAAGCTTTGATAAGATATAAACATTTGTGTCTACAATGGTGGCTGCAAATTTAAGGACATTTAAAATATATGTATTTTGAAGAAATCCATTCCTACAA